TAAATGATATTATGGTATTATTACCATAATATTGTACATGAAAACAAATAGGAATCTCTAAATTTGAGAGTTTTGGACAGGCTCTCTGGGGGGGAGGGCGAGGGAGGTATTAGGCAAGAAGTGAGAAATGTTTCTGACAAAGAGAACAATATGTGCAAAGGCTCAGGGGCTCTACAGCAGGGGTAGGGAACGTCCAGCCCACAAGTCTTAGTATAAAGCCCACAAAATCATTTGGTCTGGCCCTGCCAAGTCATTAGGGGTGAATTAATTAAATGTTTGGCCAAATATAGCAGGCTGATTTGTAAATTAATAATTTTGTATTGCCTGCAAATGGTGTTATAAATATCCAAGTGCCCCTTGGCAGAAAAAAGGTTCCCCACCCCTGCTTATGAATAGATGGGAATGACAAGGAGAATAAAAGACTCGCTTTAGGACAAATCAATGGTCATGAGCAATATCCTAGTATTCATCAATTCTCTAATAGCCTTGCAATCAACCATTAAGTTTGGCAGCCGAATCAGAGAATTTTCTAATAATTGAGGGTGAGACGATACTCTGGTAACTTCTGAAAGGGAAAACAGAAATCCCTGTAAAACATAATACTTTTTATAATCTTTTACTAGTGCTGTTGGCTTCTTTTCAGAAACAGATTAAATTACCTCCTCCTTTTGGTATGCTGGTAAAAGGAAGAAGCTGTGTGACTTACCAAAGGGTACATGGGTGGGATTTGAATCAAGATCCTCTGGGACCAAGTCCAGAGTCCTTTACACGTTATGGAGCTGATTCGTTTCAGACACTGGTCAAATTGTTATTCTCCACAATGTTCCAAAATTACATTTGTGTTAGCAACTTTGTCCTTTAAATGTAAATATTTCCTGCTTCCATTCATACCTTAGTCTGAAATAGAATCCTGGAAATTCAATCAGAAGGGATAAAAAAGTCATTAAGACCAAAGACCAACTTAATGATCAAATATCCTAACAACATTCTGGAGTATTTAGTTTAATTTAAAGTGGCCACTTTCCTCCTATCTAACCTGAATCTGTCGTGACTGCTCACTGAGAAAACACAGGCCTGGTTTAAATGATACAGAGTATAACATGAAGTTATCAGATTCTTCTATAAGAGTTGTTAGGAGGTAGGTGATGGGTATAAAGGTGGGGGAGTAGCCTGTAAAATTTTGCCTCTCTTAAAGTGCCTGTACAAAAAGTCATGTTGAATGATTTTTCTCCAATAGCTGTAAATAAGAATGTTAATACTGTACATAGATTTAGCAAATCCAGTAGTGAAAAGTTGTGCCAAGAATCACTCAGTCATTTGGTAATCAATAAATTAGAAGATAAAATGGAGAATCTTACCAATATATTTACCAGCCCAACTTTTAGTATCTTTGCTAATCTTTTCATTCTGTCATTTGGCAAGTCTAAATGCTCCCTGCTAGACTTCTATAAGCTCAAAAGTACTGACTTTTGCTTCATTCTGAGGATGAAATATGGGATACCAATTTCTGTGATAACAGTGTGACTATAATATAATTCAGCTGAATATTAGCCAACTTATAAAAAGCACAATAAACTAATTTTAGGTCAGCTATGATGCATCCACAATAAAGAGAATTTGCATTGCAAAGGGAAATAAACTTAGTCAAGAAAAGTCAGATTTCATCAGTTATCATGAAAGTATCTAGAATAATCAGCAAAGTACAAATGGCTTTGAGAGTGACTGGACTCAGAACGAACACACAAGTAGCCTAGTCAAAAGCCACTGGTTATATAGTCTTCCCAAAACTACTGTAAGATTTGAACATAGCTGTTTAATCCAAAAAATTTACAGATGCAAAGTACCATGCATTATCCTTTCCTGTCCTTATGATACACCAGAAACCAAATTATATGTTTAATAATACCGATTTCCATTTGCATAACACTTTACAGCTTCTGAAATACGCACAGATTTATCATTCTAGGATAGCAAAATAGGTCATGCTTATTATGTAGCTATCTGAGCAGAGTCTAAGTCACTTGCACAATGTCACAGAACCAACTAAAATGTAGAGGCAGATTTTTTTCAATATTCGTTCATTCAACAAATAGCTAGAATACTAAGACTTTGTTTTAGGGCCTAGTCAATGGTAGATACATAAAAGTGGAAGAGAGACAACAAACAAGTAAACATACAGAACATATGATTTTAGATAAATGCTTTAATTTTAGATAAATTTAGGTAAGTTTTAAATAAATGCTATAAAGAGAACATGGTTATGGATAGAGTGGTTGTAGAATAGCACAACCAGAGGTCAGAGATGTTCTAAGGAGGTTACATCTGAACTAAGGCCCGAATGAGGATGACAAATCACCCATGTGAAGGTCTACAAAGGCATCCCAGGCAGAGGAAAACGTAAGTATAAAGCCCCAGGGGCAGGAAAGATCATGGACAACAAGGTGACCAGACAGCCGACGTGGAGTAAGAGGGAGGAGAGGGAAGAGGGAAGAGGGTGCAGAGACAGTGGACTGGTTATATAGGGCCCTTAGACCACTCACTCCAGGAGGTAGGAGTCAAAGTGAAATTGGAGACATAGGTGGGATGATCTCATTTTCGTTTTAAAGAGATCTTTAAAGCTGCCAAAAGAAGAAACAACTGTAATACAATCCTCTAGCAACACCCCCTTGAGATTCAAAAGTACCAGTAACAGTCTATTCCTTAGAGAACATTCCTGCAGAGTGGATGCATGGGTACTTGTTACCTTTGAGACTTTACATGAGTATTATACACTTTTCTGTACAAAACTCCATTTTTAAAAGTAAATCGTACGGGTGTAAGGGTGTAAGCTGAAAAACCACCAGAACGCTTCTGTAACAGTCCCGGTGTGAGCTGATGGTACCTTGGGAGTAGCAGAAGTGAAAAGTAATGGGACTTGTAATATACATAGCTCAGAAGTATGTTAATAAGTCTTCCCGGCGGATGCAGGCAGGGGCAGGAATCAAGGCTAACCAGTGGTTCTCAATGTGGGATGGTTTTGCCTCCCAGGGGACATTTGTATTGTCTGAAGACATTTCTAGTTGTCACAATTGGTTGGGGGGGGGGGGGGGAGTGGGGGAGTGGGTGATAAGCTACTGGCCTTTATGAGTAGAGGCCAAGAATGCTAAACATACTATCATGCACAGTAGTACTGCAAAACAAAGACTTACTTGGCTAAAAAGTATTATAGTGCTGAGGTCGAGAAATCCTGATCTAGACTGATTCCAACTGATTCCCATCCCAGAATATCCATATTTCCAGGAGAATCTACAACAAAACACCCCAAAACCTAGAAATGGCATTCCTTCTTTTCATTATTTAGGGACAAGTAAAACTGTTGTATACATGAAATAAAGTTTATTTGTTTAGAGATCAATTAAATCACTGTGGTTAACTCTACATTGATCAGATCTGATTGGTACATAAGTCTAACAAAATATAAAAAAATCAATTACTGATTAATAAATGCCCCTTGTTGAACACTTTCTCAAAATGCAAGTAGAAAACTTCTATTTGGCAACACCGCCCAACACGGCTTTTAATTTTTCTTTCTACCAGCTGGTTTAATCTGCAGTCCAATACCTCCACTACTTCTCCAAATAAAAATTCCTCCCAAATCTAAAGAGATGGCTACAAACGCTGGAAAGATAATCAGAACTATAACTGGATGCGATGGGAAGAAAATGATAACCCACTTGTATGTATGTGCATGTATAAATCTGTTTAGTTTTCTGTCTTCTTTTGGGCCTTTAGCAAACGGACACATTCGTTTTAGATAGCAGAGGACTGCAGCACGCATTTCTCTCAATCACTCGAAGACCAGCGATAGGAAAGATCCTCTATAGACCTCATTAACAAAACACAAAATGCCCAAGTTGGTAAGGTTCATTTTACCTCCTTCTTTGTTATCTAAAAGGAGAGAATCTGGAAGAGGCCCCTGTGACAGTCTCCCACAGCACCCTCCCAGTCTGGGACTGCCGTTCATGCAGTAAACTCCGTGCCGTTTTACTGGGGAAGGTCTGAGGATCTGAAATTATTTGGTAACCGGAGTAGATAGCAGAAAAGACAAAAGTAACTATCTAGTCCTAAAAGGGCGGTTCAGAACATTACCGTCCATCTACGTTCTCACGAGGTGGGGCTGGAGGAACCTATTTCTAAGAAGCTACAAAGTCACTTTTGATTAAGAAAAGGATGTTCTTTATTACAAGGATCTCAATGAAATTGGTCATGGACACATAGACGACGAGGTTACCAAATCTGGTTAAAACTGAGTTTTAGGAACAATTTACATCTTTTAAAGGGTAAAAAAGGAGGGGGGGTGGGGAAGACAGCAGTCATAGCATCACAGCCTCATCCGCATTATTTATCCAAAAGCATCTCACGTGGTAACAGGGCTCCGGCCTGAATTCACCCCCATTGGTGATAAAACTTAAATCATCTAACCATCTAGAAGTAAAATACAGGGGCACTTTACTACCCTGAAAATCATGCCGAGCTCCCGCTAGGCCGGGTGGACGTTTTCGGGAGCATCACCTCGCGGCGACCAGCGAGCGCTCTTCCCTGGCGGTCTCCCGGCCGCAGTGACCTCAGGACGCTCGTGACGTCACCCTCTTGCCTACGGATACGCAGAATGACCCCCAACGTAAAATCCACCGACACTAACTCCCTCGGGCAGCGGCCGTTAAGCAGCTTTTCTTCAGGCTTTCAGACACTCGACTCCACCGCGGTCGCCGCGCCGACCTCTACTCCCTAAAGGGGCAGCCACACAGCCTCAGCACGGGAACGCGCGAGAGGGGCGCCCTCACAAACCACATTCTCGCGACACCTTAAACGCAATTCTCGCGACATCCGCCTGCGTGCCCGTCCCTTTTTTTTTTCAGACCCCACCTCTACACAGCTACTTGCTTAGAAACATCGCGAGATTTGCTACTTTCAATCTCCGCCCCTTTACGGCACGATGGTCGCACAAGAATGTGATAGAGGCTCCGCGGCCGCCATTTTCTTTCTTTCTTAGCAGTTGGCTGAGAGAAGGTCTGTGTGGAGAGCGGTAGCGGCCACAGTAGGGTAGAGATGGCAGACTATTCAACAGTCCCTCCACCCTCCTCTGGCTCAGCTGGCGGTGGAGGCGGCGGCGGCGGCGGCGGCGGTGTTAACGATGCTTTCAAAGATGCGCTGCAGAGAGCCCGGCAGGTAAGCCGGGGCTGCGCGGCGGGATCCCGACGGCTCACGGTAATTGGTCGCTGGCGGAGTAGGCCGCTACTTCTGTAGGCGCAGAGGAAGAGGGAAGACATGCTCTTCCGGGCTCTCAAATGTGCGGAGACTCACGTTTCCCCACGTTGGCGGTGCCGGTCAGAGGCTAGATTTAGGTTTCGTGTTCTTGCTGTCTCAGCCCGTGGGAACCCCAAACGCGTGCCGCGCTCGGATGGCCTGGGCTCTCTGTCCTCCCCTGCGGCACAGGCGCTCCTCTCTCTCAGGAGTGAGCATGTCCTCCTCCTCCTCAGATGGAGCACGGTCCCCCCCGTGGTAGAAAGCGCGCCTAGTTTCACACAATAGCGTGGAAGGTTCTGGCTGTGAGTTTCGTTTGGGAGGGAATCCGGGGTCTGCCCCCCGGAGCCATGGGAAGGGGAGGGATATGCCGGGAGAGTGGTCTTCACGGCCCTTTCCGCAGTTAGTCTGTCGGTGTCGTTCGCTTTCTCGGTGACGAGGAAGAGACTTGGGAAAGTACCGGATCCCGGGTGGGAGTGCTTCCTCGTGGCGGGGTTTCCGTGTCCGCGTGAGACCAGTCCTTCCCCCCTTATTTCTCAAAATGGCTTCAGGCCCATTTTACCCCCAAATTTCCATTTGAATCTGCCTCTCTGTTCAGAGTCGTAAACTGACCACCTCTTTCTATTACGTAGGTGCATACATTTGCCCCGAAGGCACTTCTTTCACAATCGAAAGCTTAAAAAAAAAAAAAAAAAGCACATGTACCTCCGAAGTAAAGAGCTCTTCATTTGAACTTCCATCTTTATTGGGAAGTACGTTAATATCATTATAACTTTAAAATGTGTGCTATTGGTCTGGACTTGTATGTAAGCAAAAATGAGAGTCTTTCTCTCGTTATGACACTAGGCATAATAGGTGCCAGACATTTTTAGACCTTAGTGGTAAACGAATGGTAATCAGAAACTAATTTTGTGCTATGCTTTGATTGTATTAGGAGTTCACTTAATTTTTCTTTTTTACCCTCCAGTTAAAGGACTATTTCAGTCAAAATCCATAAAATCAGTAGTGATGTAACAAATCGCTCTTACTTTTGTAATGTGAGCACATTATAAATAAAAATGTACCTGTTCTTGTTTATAGTCAGAATACTCAGGAGAGTCGAGGAAACGTCATCATTAATACTAACTCTACAGTTTTTTCACTGAATTTTCATTTATCCTGAACATGTTTTGAATAGTGACTGAGACATTTACATAATGACAGGACCTCTGTTAGTGGTGTTTTATTAGATTGGGTTGAAAGACTCCCCTGAATTATTTTTATTCCACCAGCATATTGAATTATTATGTGCCACACACTGTACTTAGATACTAGAGAATTTTTAAATGTGTGAATTGGGGTTTCTGGCTTCTAGGAACCAAATGCAAATGAGTGGTTTTCAGAAAGAAGTGGGCATAATAAGGACAGTTAGTTAATCTTTTTGTTCTAGAAACATATATAGAGTTCCTACTATGAGTTAAGCACTGTACACACCACCAGCGAGTGGGGTGCCTAACTGCCAAAGTAAAGGACTGACACTTTAAGCAAGGCATTCAAGAATGTGTGGGAGTTTGACCAGTGGCGAAAAGAAGCAGCATGTGCAAAGGTATGAAGGTTTTTTGCCCTGACAAGAACCCAAGTATGAAGTCACTGGAGGATAGTGTTGGGTGAGGCAAGAAGTGAGAAAAGGTACAGATGTATACAACTTCTGAAAGACTACTTTAATAAAAAAGTAGGTTTCATGATTTGGCTAGGCTATAATTTCCTGTTAACTTAGACTGCTTTCTTAATGTGGAAATTGTCCTCACACTGGAATTTTTTGTACTCTTTACATGCCAGTAGGTCAGCTGCCCCAATGCCCTTGATGTAATAATCCTTTATAGATAGATGTCTTTGCTGTAATAATTTGATTGTTTCTTTACAGACTTGATCTTAAATCTGAGATTTCCATATTTAGCTTCTGATTACATTTTAGGATGCTATTTGTCTTAAAAGTGGAATGTTGGGAAGAGTACTTGGGCTGAAGGAACAAGTTAGGTTAATATTTAATCACTTTTTCCTAAACGACATTGAATTATATTTCCAAAATTCCCATCTAACCTTAAGCTTCATTGCTTTGTCCAAAGTATTATGCTGTGTTCTTTGGAAGGGAGAGTTACAAGAACAGCTTCTTGTTCTCAAAAGCTGTATACCTATGGGCATTTTTGGCTGGACAGTTATTTGTTGGAAAGCAGGATAACTGATTAGGATTCCTGGGCCCTCCTAACCTAGTAAATGCTAGTAGCATTTACACTAGCTGATTGTTGCCATCTGGTAATTTAGGCCAAGTTGCCAAACTTTTTCTTTTTTTCCCCCCAGAGAATCCTAATTGTTTATTTTTAATGTGAAATTTACAGTTTTTTATAATAATACTCTGTGAGCACAGGGCACCAGATTAGATTGCTTCTCTAGTTTAGGGTTTCTAACCTGTACACTTTAGAAATTTATGTTTTTGTATTTCAAGCTGTGACTCCAGAAGGTGAGGTTAGGATTCTGGTAATTACATCTACACAAATAAAAGACAAACATGCAAATTGACCGCGCCTTCGCTACGCCTTAAGCCGCACCCACCAGCCAATCAGAGCGACTATATGCAAATTAACCCAACCAAGATGGCGGCTGACAGCCGCTGAGCTGGAGCAAGCAGGAGGCTTGGTTGCCCCAATGATGGAGGAAGCCAAGCTTCCCGTCTGCCGCAGCAGCTCTAAGCTCCACTCAAAGCAACAAAGTTTCAATATAGAAGATAAACAAACCCCAGATACCTGCTTTCAGTCGGCCGTGGCCACGGAGCTGGAGCGAGCAGGAGGCGTGGGTTGCCCCTGGCGATGGAGGGAGGAAGCCAAGCTTCCCTCCCGCCTGCCCTGGCCGGCTCTGAGCTCCTCAAGGCTACAAAGTTTCAATTATAGAAGGTAAATAAATCCCAGAATAAAAAGAAAAAAAGGAGAGGCTGGTAGCTTCCATCGTTGGAGGAACATGGCCAGCCTGGAAACGGCCCTCAGCCCCTCACCCAGGCTGACCAGGCACCCCAGTGGGGACACCCCCCCCCCCCCCAAGGGGGTGTGACCAGCTGCACTCATCAGCCCCTCACCCAGGCTGGCCAGGCACCCAAGCAGGTCCCCCACCCTGATCCGGGACACCCTTCACAGCAAACCAGCCGGCCCCCACCCGTGCACCGGGCCTCTATTCCCATATAATAAAAGGGTAATATGCAAATTGACCCTAACAGCAGAATGACTGGTCACTATGACACACACTGACCACCAGGGGGCAGATGCTCAATGCAGGAGCTGTCCCCTGGTGGTCAGTGTGCTCCCACAGGGGGAGTACTGCTCAGCCACAAGCCAGGCTGATGACTGCCAGTACAGCGGTGGTGGCGGGAGCCTCTCCTGCCTCCTCAGCAGCACTAAGGATGTCCGACTGCAGCTTAGGTCTGCTCCCTGCTAGTAAGTGGACATCCCCCAAGGACTGCCGGGCTGCCAGAGGGATGTCTGACTGCCAGCTTGGGCCCAATCCCCCTGGGAGCGGGCCTAAGCCAGCAGGTGGACATCCCCCGAGGGGTCCTAGACTGCGAGAGGGCATAGGCCAGGCTGAGGGACCCCACCCCCCAGTGCACAAATTTTTGTGCACCCGGCCTCTAGTTAAATAATAAGTTCTGTCTCTGAGCATTGGAAAATTACAATGTACCTATCCACTTTTTTTCTCAATGTTCTATGAAGATAGAAGTGAATCAGACAGAGGCTGAGACTAGATAGTGAATAAAGTGGTAGATCACTTTTTCCTAAAGGACACTGAATTATATTTCCAAAATTCCCGTCTAACCTTAAGTTTCATTTCTTTGTCCAAAGTATTATGCTATGTTCTTTGGAAGGAAGAGGTATAAGAACAGCTTATACAGTGGTAGATCACAAGTTACCAAAAATATCAAACTTCATCCATTCTGCTTAACTAGTAAATTAGTTATTAAGTACTCAGTAATTCTTTTTATTATTATTATTGATTTGAGAGAGAGAAGAGAGGGAAGTGGGAAAGAAAGAAAGACATCCATTTGTTGTTCCACTTACTTATGCATTCATTTGTTGATTCTTTTATGTGCCCTGACTGGAGATTGAACCACAACCTTGGTATATGGGGACAATGCTCCAAACAGCTGAGCTACCTGGCTGGGGCCAGTACTCAATTATTCTTGATATTTCTTTCTTGATAATTATAAATTGCATTATGTTTGAATGCAATGAAAATTTTATAAAATAGAATTGTTGATTTTAATTACCATTAATCCCATCAATGAAAACTAGCATTTGAGTGTGACTTTTTTAAACATTTTGAGACAGAATAGCAAAGTTTGATTATGATAATAAGCAAAGGTTCCTGTTTTGTAGAGAGGTGACAGTGTTAATAAAATGGTGGCCTCGTAATATTTCTTGTGTCCTTCATGCATCTTCACATTTCCGGTGCATGGGAACCATCAAAACCTGACCCTTAGCAGGTACTTAGTATTTATTCAATTGAATGAAAAAATATCTTTAATGAATTTAGGTAGTAATGAAATTTTGTTTTGAAAATAATTATGTTCTTGCAGAAATTCATTTGTTGAATACCCACAATATGGTTATGTCAGTCTTAGGGTTTCAGTCTTAGGGATAACAAAGAGAAATCACATACCTTAGTCTCCAGCGGGCAGTTTTCACAAATAGAATGTAACTACATATGTCTTCAGGACAAATAAAAATTGTTAAAATTTTAAAATGCAAATATTTGACGTGCAGACCCTGCTTTATCGTTTGAATTATAGTATGCTGATCTGTTTATAATAACTAGCAATTAATATACTATGTTAGGTTCTGTGCTAAACTTGTATTCATTTAATTCTCACAACCATCCTTCTAGGTAAGTATAGAAAAACGGTTATCTCCTTTGTATAGATAAGGTGAACAAGGTGCAGAATGCACAGGAAAATTTGGCAGGGACCCAAATTAGTTGAACCAGAATCACAACCCACTCCAAATCACAGTAGTACTGCAAACCAAAGGAAGCATGCAGTGGACTGAAAATTAGGAGCTAGTCACCTGAGGCATTTAGGTAGTTTGCTTCTGAGAATCAGCTTCTGATTTTTTAAAAAAAATATCTAAAATAAGGTGATATAACTAAATAATCTCTTAAATATTCAGAATTGTTGGATAGTAGGAATAGTCTGTGAAGAAAGGTAGAAAATGCTAAAACATTAAAACACACTCAAAAAAATTTACTCATTTGAAGTCCAAATGAAAAGCTTGAATTACAGTGGGGCCGTGAGCCGTCTCTCGGCCGATTTTTTGCTTTGAGTTGCGAGCTAAAATTCGGGTTACGAGCCAGCTTCAGATACCCCACCGCTAGTTGGCGCAGCGAACGTCACAGTGAATGCCACATCAGCCCAGCATCACGTGTCTCACTCATTCACTGTTGATTTGACATACGAGTAATTTGAATTACGAGCTCCGTCACGGAACGAATTAAACTCTTAAGTCAAGGCCTCACTGTATTGTAAATTAAAATAAAAAATGTATTAGACTTAATTTTATTAGTCCAGTAATACTTTTATATATAATTGGAGGTTGGATTTTAGGAACTACTGTTTCTCTTAAATTAATCCTCCTTTCAATGACTTAGGACAGCAATTTTCAACCTGTGTGCCACAAGAATTTTTAAACATTCAATATCTGATTATTTAGTCAGGAATACTGACCTCTTTTCCCTTAGATTGTCAAATGAAAAAATGACAACAGCCAACTCAACAATAGCTGTCTGGTGTGAATGAACCAAAATTGTGTGTGTGATCAGAAAAAGTTTTTTTGGTGTGCCACAGAACTTTAGTAATTTTGTGTGCAATGAGATTTTTTTTAAAAGCTTGAAAATCGCTGACTTAGGAAATGTATATTTTCTTTTGATTTTGGAGAATTGAACAAATCTGTATTGATAGTATTTTTACCAAAAGCTCTTCTTTGATGTCTTCGTATTTTGAATTTTTGAGATGGTGTTACTGGTTCTTTTTAACCCTAAGGTCACCTATTCGATCCCTGGTTAGGGAGGGTACTGGAGGCAACCAATTGATGTTTCTCTCTCCCTCTCTATTGAATGAATAGGGAGGTAAAAATAAGTGTACTTTCTCTGTGCAGAAATTCCAAGGAGTGCTGATTTATAGAGCATTTATAAAAGCTAACTGTTGGAGATACTCACAGCCTAAAATATTTTCCAGTCATTGGTGCCACTATTTTCTCTGTCCTAAAATACTTTCCTTAACATCAGTGTCCATCAATACTGGCAGTGTAGTTAAGTTCCTAAGGAACAATTCAATGCTAACTGTTTTAAAGCTTAAGGGTGGACAGAACTGTCTTGACACAATTTGAGCTTGCTATAGCAACTATTTTTTAACATATTGCAGTGCTCTCTATTTGACAAGTGATTGTATAGACTTAGCATTAAAAAAAAAAAAACCCTTAAGGATGGAAAAGCAGTTTTCAGGTATGATGAGAAAATCTTAGAAAAGAAATAAGGTTTTAATTAGATGCTCAAAGATGCAAACAGGCTTTTGAGAAAGTGAAAGATGATTAAGGAAGGTTAGATTGACCAAAGCTCTAGTATCCTTAATTCTAATATGCTTTGCTATATGTGTTTGCATGTAGAAAAAGTGAAATCTAGTAACCCTGGGAAATATAGTTGCTATGTGGGAACATATATATAAGTGATACATTGGATTTATGACTCAAGTTTCTGAATATACTCTTACTTTCTCTAATTTCCTAGTTATAATGAAGCTTGAGGTATAGTTGGTTTAGTTCCACATCAGGACATTTTTGGGGGAATTTCAGTTACCAAAAGTTTGATTTTCCATTTAATTTTTTATCATGGAACATTTCAAACATGCTCAAAATTGAAAGAATAATGTAATATGAATTCTGAGCCATTCACCCACTTTAGTGATTATCCCCCTCATAGTAATTATAGCATGGGACTGTGTAGCAATTGGGACATGAGCATTGACTAACTATGTAATCTTAGTTATTAACCTCTTTTAATTTTTTTTAACTGTAAGATATATCTACTTCACTAATACTTTCTACCTCATAGGGATGTTAATGATCACTCAATGACAAAATGAATATGGAACACTTATAATGTGGAACGTGGCCTGTTGTTGGCACTCCACAATATTAGTTTCATTTCTTTCATAGAAAAGTGCAGTAAATGTCCACTGGCTCTGCCTCACTTGTGACTTGAGGCTGGTATTTCAAGTATAATGTTTGTTTAGTCAACTTCAGGCAATTATTTGGCCCATTCTAGTAGTTAAGTCTTTAAGGATAAAATTACTTATGTCTCTATTTCTGAGGCTTTCTTGCCCCCATGTTTCCTTAGTGCAAGATTGTCCAATAAAGTCACACACGTTTTATTTAATCCAACATATCTAAAATATTACTATTCTAATATGTGTTCAATATAAACATTTTTGAGATGCTTTACATTCTTTAGTTAATTTCAAGTTTTTAATATCTGTATATTTTACACTTCAAAGTATATCTCCAATTTGGACTATTTTAAGTACTCAGTAACCACATTGGCTAATGTCTGCCCTATTAGACAGCACAGCCTTAGAGTCCCACAGGTATTCACATTCTCTATGCCCACACACATCTTCTGTGGAGTCATGGGAGAGAGCCATGGCAAAGATAGAATTAGGATACAGATTTTCTTCAAAGCTATTTGGTCAGTCTTAAGATTCCTAATTGATTACTTCTTTGTTCTTATATGAAAAGCTTAATTTCAGGTGATTATTTGTTAACTCTGGAGTTATTAATGATAGTAATGTACTATAATTTGTCTTTTTATCAAATTAGCTTTTATGTGAGTTATTTGACATATATAGGTATTAGGAACTATATGAGGAAATTGAGTACTAAATAGCATATAGTAGTTATGGTGCTCTTCTTAATGATAGTATGTTTTTGTTTTTTAAGATTGCAGCAAAAATTGGAGGTGATGCTGGTACATCACTGAATTCAAATGACTATGGTTATGGGGGACAAAAAAGACCTTTGGAAGATGGAGGTAAGTTATAGCCATAAGTATTTTTGTTTTACACAGTTTAGTTAAAGTAATTTTTACAATTTTTCAAATGTTATTATTGTATTGAAACATTACTTTTATCATAAGGTTCCTAAAATTGTAAGGCTTATGTTGCCCTCAAAAGGAAAGGGGGGAAAAGAAACCTAGACAAGGTAGGTAAAATTTTAGTCAGTTTTGTCTTATTAGAAAAACATCATTTTTCTTCTTTTAAGATTGTGCCAGATTGACAGTTTGCACAGACGACTTGTTAATATTCTGGGGGAAGGGGGAATGGAAATTAAAATGTTGAGGGGACATTTCACAGGTTTTTCTCATCATACATGAATTAAATCTTTATATGCTATATTTTCATTGTTCTGCTATTTCAGATTTCACGTTAAAGGTTGAAGTTGCCAAAGTTTGCTATTCTAGTGTGTTGCAGATTATACCATTTTATTGTTACATTTTTATTTATTTTAGTACCTTGTTTTGTGTTTCAGGTTTAACTCAATGTGGCTTAAAGCAGTAGATTTACAGTGCCTTGTATTTAAAAAAAAACAATTATTGAAGTTTCTGAACTTAGAAGTCAGCACATATTTTTGTTTTAGATTTGATGTATGAAATTTTGATACAATTTCTTTTTGCCTTTTTATTTTTTTAAGAGGAGGATTCTGAATGAGCCTATAGAATGTATTTGTAGCTTTTGACCAGGAGTACTTGGTTTTATTAAGTGATTTTCACATTTACAGTGAGGTTTTAATATACAAAACAAAAAATGAGCTAATGATGCTTCAGATGTTGTATGTAATGTATTCTTTTTATTTTATGTGTAGATGGCTCTTGGACAAGTCCGAGCAGTACAACACACTGGGAGGGAATGCCCTCTCCTTTTAAAGGCAGGAATTTTTATTTATTACCTGTGTTTAGTATGTAAACGTGAAATAAACCAGTGGATTCTGATATGGACACAGTATTTCTTGGATTATGTGTCTGAATTTTTGCTGTACAACATTCTGATGTTTAATTAACTTTGAAGGGGGGAGGAGAATAGTACTTTATCAGTTGTTTATTCTAAGGTATGCATTGTATTCATCTGTAAAGGATGTAGATGAAGGTAGTCATGTAGTTGCTTTGAGTTTTCTGCTGAAGTTTATGCCTTGATATGTTTGGTGAAGAACAATAGAACAGTTTAGATCGAGATTGCCTTGTAATCTCATTTTAAAATTTATTTTGCATAGCTTTGTGGTCACTGTCTGATACACTCAACTTTTGATATGTCAACTTTTCACATTTTGATAGGTCTTCTTTTCTTCCAGTCTTCAGTTCCTACAGTGGGAAGCATCATTAGCCTTTAGCATGTGATATTTTGCTAGTAACGGACCTAAATACTTTGTCTTATAACATTCTAAAGTGCTTAACATACATTAAGGTCAGTGATTTGATACAATCAAAAAGAATTTTTTTAAAAAATGTCTGTGCATCTTTTAAACATGAATAGTTTGGGCTACGTTTTGGCACTTTTGGTTCAAATTACACAATACCCTCAGCTATTTCAATAAATGTTTATATTGATATTCTTGCTTGGGCAGGGGAACTGATTCATATATTTGTACTTATTGGCAAAAAAATTAAAAGACATTTAATTTTGCAGATCAACCAGATGCTAAGAAAGTTGCTCCTCAAAATGACTGTAAGTATTTATTTGAAGTTGGGTTAAAAAATAAAGTAACTGGATTTTAATTAGGGTTTTGTTCCTATCTTTTGTTGGGTATCTTTGAAGTTAGTTGGAGGCCATGAATATTATGTTATAATGAATTTCTTTGTAAATATGTGCATCCTATCTTTATGATCTTTCAGTTTTGGCCAGGTACATATTAATGAGATTAGACCATTAAGTTATTTTATATAGTCTCTTTTTTGCTCTATTTCTCATTTTTATTATGTTTTATTGGTCTATTTCTTAATCTATACATGCACCACTTGAAAAAGGACAGGTGTTTTTTTTCTATTTCATTGCTAGTAATGTCTGCCCTTTTGCTGACTTTTTTTGCTTACTGTCAATGTTGATTTAAGTATTCTGCATAAAATTTTACTCTCTTCAAGGTATTATCTGTGCATCAGGGAAAGATTTTGGAATTGCTTGATAAAAGTATTAAATATATGTGAACTTAAATTTAAACTTTTTCATTTTTATTTAATTTTTATGGTAGCTTTTGGGACGCAGTTACCACCGATGCATCAGCAGCAAAGGTATAGTCAAATGCTTTTCAAATGATTTGCAAGTTTTAGTTGAACTGTATGTAAAAACACAACCAAGTTAGTGTACAGTGAATATGTGTGTGTGTGTGTGTGTGTGTGTGTGTGTGTGTGTTTCATTTCCTTCATCTTAATAAGGTGATACAGAATGATCATTTTTCTTTTTTGAGTGACGTACATTTGTAGTTTGGAAGGATGGGTGTAATTAGATACATTTTAGAGAAAGTAAAGTGAATTAAAATACTATTTTTAAAAAAATTAAGTTGACAGTCCCTCAACTCTACTCCAGCTTCTTTGCATGCCTTCAGACTGTTCCATTCACCATACCCTCCTCACTTGATATGCGTTACCTTAAGATTCTAACTTTAACTACTCAAGCCATATTTTGACTATAAACAAACATGTTCCTGGAACCCTGGTTTGACCATTAGACCTCCATTTTCATCGATAGAGTACCTTTTATTTGTAAGTAAATTACCTTTCTTTAAAGGAAGATGTTAGTTTCTGGTTTTGCTTTTTTTAGCAGGTCTGTAATGACTGAAGAATACAAAGTTCCAGATGGAATGGTTGGATTTAGTAAGTAACCTGGTTTTTAAAGCTTTGAAAACAATCAAAACATACTTGGCAATCTTTCAGCTAATAATTTTCTTTTTTCTTTTCTAGTTATTGGCAGAGGAGGTGAACAAATCTCACGTATACAGCAGGAATCTGGATGCAAAATACAGATTGCTCCTGGTAACGTTATTTTGATGCTATTTTCATACTAAATAGAAAGCTAGCATATTTTTAAGCTTCTATTGAAAATTGTGGTATGTGTTAACCTTTTCTTAGCCTTAAACTTTTTTGTTTTATATTGTAGACAGTGGTGGCCTTCCAGAAAGGTCTTGTATGTTAACTGGAACACCTGAGTCTGTCCAGTAAGTATGAAAATCATGTGTCAAAGGCCAGCCCCCTTCTTTCTACTGAAGTACATTGCCTTTACAATTGAACTGACTTCCTCCTGCACTGTAAATTTCCCCTTCTTTTCTAGATAATTTCTAGTAGCATACAGACATGCTTGAAAATCTCACATTAACCAAAACCATCCCTGAACCCCACATTTATATTTCTCTGCTCCCTTTTACAACAAAACTCCTTAAATAAAGAGGTAGCTCTACTTTGGCATTATCATCTGCCTGTTTTCATGTTGTCATGACCTTACACCAGTCGAGCATTGATTCTCACTGTCCCGTTAAAATTGGTCTATTCGAGATCATGACTGGCCGCTTCCTCATTCGGCCTGTCAGCACTGTTTGACACAGTGGACCACTTGCCTAGATACCTACTTCTCTTCTTTCTCAGTTTATCTTGGTTGTCAGCCTTATCTTCCTGGGCTCAACATGAAAGTGCCACAAAATTCAGTCCTCTTACAATATATCTACACATACTCTTTGGATAACTTAATTTACTCTATTAAACTTCTTTTAATATATAGCTTTATATACCATAGATTTTTATGTTCTAAATTTTTATCTCCATCCTTGGTCTCTTTTTCTAAATTCCAGGCTCATATCCATCTACTCAGTGCCTCCACTTGAATGTCTATTAAGACATCTCAAACACAAGATTATTAGGAAATAAAATCATTTTACAGCCCATTCCCAGCTTTTATTTATACTCTTTTATCTCTTACATGTATGGCAACTCTGTTTTAATATTTTATCTCTCTCTTACTCCTCATTTATCATAAGCAAGTCTTGGTCATTTTTTATTCATAATTTATTTGAGATCCAGCTTTTTGCCACCTTATATACTACCATCTTATCTGTGATGTGATTTGCCTATATTACGTGTGTCCATTGTTTTAGCCGTGTTCAACAATGATCTATTCTTAAACAGTATAGCCATAGTGATTCTTCAAGATTGTGAGTCAATTCATAATACTTTGCTCAAAATCCCATAATGCTTAACTCAATTAGAGTAAAAATCAGTGTCTACCATGGCCTGCTTACCTGCTGTTTTTCTCACTTTATTTTTTTACCATTCACTCTGTTCTAGCCTCATGTAGCCTCTTGTATTTTTTGAGCACACCAAGCATGCCTCTCATTTGAGTCCTTTGTACTTTCTATTTCTCCTCTATTTTCAAATTCCCTCCGCCTCTTCCTTCAGGTCTTGGCTCAAATGTCTATCAGTAAGGTCTCCCATATCTACTTTCCATAAAATAGCATCCCTTCACACACATACACATTCTATCCTTATTTTGCTTTGATTTTCTTCATAGCCCTTCCCAAATGACATGTGATTTATTTAACGTTATTATTTTAATACGTTTTTGTTTATTATAGAGAGGAAGGAAGGGGGAGAGAAAAACTTCAGTGATGAGACAGGACCAGTGATTGATCAGCTGCCTCGTGCACAGCACCTATTTGGGATCAAGCCCACAACCCGGGCATGTCCCCTGACCAGGAATCGAACAGTGACATCCTTGTTCATAGGACGATGCTCAACCACTGAGCGATGCCAGAAGAAACTCTTGTCTCTTTTGTTCAGTGCTGTAACCCCATTAGCTAGAATGAAATGTGGTATATAACTGACATTTCTTAAGTATTTATTGAATTAATACATTTAAACACCTGAGTGACCAAAGTGATGGTTTAAAAATATAAATATTGCCCGGCCAGGTGTGACTCAGTGGTTGAACATCGACCTGTGAACCAAGAGGTCACTGTTCTATTCCTGGTCAGGGCATGTGCCTGGGTTGCAGGCTTTGATACCCTATAGGGGCCGTGCACGAGGTAGCCGATCATTGATTCTCTCTTGTGATTGAAGTTTCTACCTCTCTCCCTTCCTCTGAATTCAACAAAAATACATATTTTTTTAAAAAACATTTTATTTAGTGCTCATAAGAATCAATTTAATATTGCGATTAACTTTGGAATTTGAGTGCTGCTTAGAAATTTTGGAATCTCAAAAATATTTGAAAATTGTATACCTAGAAATTTGATTGAATAGTTCTAATCTTTGGCCCTAATGGCATTTTCTTTTAATTGAAATTATTAAAATTTAGCTTTAAGCCATCTAAACTGGAATTGGAAGAAGTAACTGGTTATATTTTATATTTCTTTTGGATAAGCTTTGGGGTATATTACAACTTATTTGACTGTTAATTTATTAACAGGTCAGCAAAACGATTACTGGACCAGATTGTTGAAAAAGGAAGACCAGCCCCTGGCTTCCATCATGGTGATGGACCAGGAAATGCAGTTCAAGAAATAATGATTCCAGCTAGCAAAGCTGGATTAGTTATTGGAAAGGGGGGAGAGACTATTAAACAACTTCAGGTATTATTTGTAAAATGATTACTATTCATCTGTTTTGAAGCCAATTTACTTCCATTCCCCTTTTATTAATACATACTTTTTTTTTTTATGATGAACAGGAACGGGCTGGAGTTAAAATGGTTATGATTCAAGATGGACCTCAGAACACTGGTGCTGACAAACCTCTTAGGATTACTGGAGATCCATACAAAGTTCAAGTAAACAAGTTTATATTTTACAAAGAAGGGGTTGGGGTGGGTGCAGAATGAGCAAAACATGTATGAATAAATTACAATGTTTTGAAACATGCTTTCTAAATTGGGTAATTTTTTTCTACTTCAGCAAGCCAAGGAAATGGTGTTAGAGTTAATTCGTGATCAAGGTGGTTTCAGAGAAGTTCGAAATGAGTATGGGTCAAGAATTGGAGGAAATGAAGGGATAGATGTAAGTAAAAATATTCAGAAATAGTTTTATGCTAATCTATAAGTAAAATAGAGTTTTTCCTGTTTTGTATTGCATAGCCTTCTCTAACATTGTATCCTCTTTTTTTCTCCCAGTTTCCACCTTAGAATATAGTAGTATTTTTTGTCTCTTATCACCCTACTTGATACAAAAAATGTTATATATACTTTTATGATTTGAGGCAGTTTGATTTTCAGTAAATGGTTTTTTAATACTTTGTCTCCTTTGCATAAGGTCCCCATTCCAAGATTTGCTGTTGGCATTGTAATAGGAAGAAATGGAGAGATGATTAAAAAAATACAAAATGATGCTGGTGTTCGAATTCAGTTTAAGCCAGGTGAGTACATACATTTAATTTTCTGAGTGTTGGTAGCAATTACTTTTGACACTGACACATTTAATGATAAATTAATTCGTTCTATTTCTTTTGTTTTGTTTTGAAGATGATGGAACAACACCTGACAGGATAGCACAAATAACAGGACCTCCAGACCGATGTCAACATGCTGCAGAAATTATTACAGACCTTCTTAGAAGTGTTCAGGTTGATAGAATACTAATATTTTCTTCGTTTTATTTTCATTCAGAAATTTTTTCTTTGGCTCCAGCCAGGTGTCTCAGTTGGTTAGAGGGTCATACTGTACACCAAAAGGGTTTGCAGGTTCAATTTCTGGTCAGGGCACACACCTAAGTTGCAGGTTTGATCCCTGGTTGGGGCCCATACAGGAGGCAACTGATCGATGTTTCTCTCTCACATCGGTGGTTGTTTCTCTTCCTCTCTCACATCAATAAAAACTTAAGCTTGGTTGAAAATTTTAAAATTTTCCTTCATCAAATCTGAAAGTCCCCCCTTTATTTTATATCAGAATCTGTTTAATAACTAAAAAGTTTGAAGTTGCTTTAAGGCAGACATCTTGGAGCAGGAAGGCAGCTACCTTACTCATTCCAGTATAAAATGAATAAATGGTGGTTATTACTGGCTGATTACTTGGACCAAGTTATCTCCCAACTTTTCTAAAGTTCTAATTTAGGGAAATGAAAGTTGAGGAAAATAGACATGTAATTTATTATGGAAAGAAGAGTGTATTTTTAGCTGACTTCGTTTTTTGTCTTTCTCTTTAGGCTGGTAATCCTGGTGGACCTGGACCTGGTGGTCGAGGGAGAGGTAGAGGTCAGGGCAACTGGAACATGGGACCACCTGGTGGACTTCAGGAATTTAATTTCATTGTACCAACTGGGAAAACTGGATTAATAATAGGAAAAGGCAAAGTATTTTAAACTCTTAACTCTTTTAATGTAGGGTTAAAATTTTAACCTATTATTTTTTCTGATGATATATCTGTTGTTCTAAACAGTGGTGGTGATTTTTCCTGAGCTGTATTTTAGTAGAAAAGTGTTATGTTGATGGTAATAACTAAAACAAATGAGAAGGGCCTTATATATATTTAAATAAAAAGAGTAGGCTTTGACTCACATGGGCTTCTAGAAGAGACCAACAGCTTAATTATTAGTGTAAGAAACTTGACCCCAAAAGTGGTCTGGGTGTTTTTGTTTACTGTGCTATTTCCTGATAGACATGTGTTTAAATTTTCAAAATTTTTTAATGTTACTTTATATTGCTTGTAAAAGCAGTTTAATTGAACCAAATATTTTGATTTTGATAAGTTACCAATTTTAAGGTTAGGTACAGATGTACTAAATTATGTCTTAAAACTCAAATGTATTTTAAGAGAAGCATGAAATGCTTTATACAGTTTGATTTAAGTATAGGAATAAATGGAAAATCGTAATAGAATTTTGGCAGATGGACTACTAGTCAAAGCTTAATGACCCATTTAATTGTGACTTTAAGTTTATTGAAGTAATATTAATTAATGACATTATATAAATTTCAAGTGTACGTCTATATCTGTATACCCTAATTTATACTTTACACCCAAAGTCTAGTTTCTTTCCATTGCCATTTATTTGACCCCCTTTGCCTAATTTGCCCTTCCCCACTGGTAATCATCATTCTGTTTGTATCTATGAGTTTGTATTTGTTAGTTCGTTTGTTACTTCCATTTTATTTTAATTACCTTTTCTTGTATCCTTTGAATTCTTAGAGAAATTATTGTGTTTTGATTTTAGGAGGTGAAACCATAAAAAGCATAAGCCAACAGTCTGGTGCAAGAATAGAACTTCAGAGAAATCCACCACCTAATGCAGACCCTAATATGAAGTTATTTACAATTCGTGGCACTCCACAACAAATAGACTATGCTCGGCAACTCATAGAAGAAAAGATTGGTGTGAGTATGCTTTAAACATCAATTTATAGCATAGGTTCTAGTCTAAAATTATAAGGCTCATCACATAATAGATAACATAAACAGAAAAGATTTTCCAGGAATGAAAGTAACCTAATTAAATACAGTAAAAGGTGTTCAGAACCTTATATTTGGGTGTGGGTAGATAAGAGGATAGCATTTCTTGCAGATATGTTCAGGTTGGAGAATTGTGAAACATATTTAAAGGATATAGTTAACAGGAATTCAGTGTTTATTAAGGGCTTTTACTATATGTAACCCTGGTGACACAAAGATGAGTCAGATACATCCCACTTTAAAGTAGAAATTTATAAATCCTAATTCTTAGGCAGTAATCTGGGGAGTTTTAAATGTAGGCTACTTGGGTGCTTTCCACCTCTACACATAACGCAGTTCTCATTCAAAATGTCTGGAATAGAGCCCAACATCTACTTTTAGAAAGATGGTTCAGGTGATTCTGATGCATGGCCAAGCTTGAAAGTGTTTCTGCCAGAAAAGTTTGCTGGTGGTAGTACAAAAATGTATGAAAAGTTTTGATTGTTCTTTCTTGTAAATGAGGTAAATAGTGCTTTACTGTTTGCTTTTATTATAAATAATATAGGGTGTGAGCAAGCATCTTAAACTATTAATAATAATTAGAATTTCTTGGAAAAATTTCTCCTTGGTGATTGCCATGCGTGGATGGGGTGCAAAAGAAGTTTGACACTGTTTCTGTCTGGGAAGTCAAAAAATAAATGTACAAGAAATACTTAAAGAATATCTTATAAAAATATACACACACAGCCCTGACTGGTTTGGCTCAGTGGATAGAGCGTCGGCCTGCGGACTGAAAGGTCCCAGGTTCGATTCCAGTCAAGGGCATGTACCTTGGTTGCGGGCACATTCCCAGGAGGGGGTTGTGCAGGAGGCAGCTGATCGATGTTTCTAACTCTCTATCCCTCTCCCTTCCTCTCTGTAAAAAAATCAATAAAATATATTTAAATATATATATATATACACAAACATTGTATGGGCAATACGTGTAATTGCACAGAGACATGAAGAAAATAATTGTGGAATCAGTTTGGCAGAGATTAATGCAGAAAAATGAATAGCACATCTTGGTTTTGAATTTTACTATGCACGGATCAGGATTCCTTCTGGATTGGTGGACAAACAGAATAGAATGTCCGAGAGAAGCTAAACAACCTGAGTTCAAAATACTCTGGCTCTTGCTGGTGTTTTCAGCAGTTAGAGCATTGGTCTACACACTGAAGGGTCTTGGGGTAACATCAATTGTGTCTCTCCCTCTCTTCCACTCTCTCTAAAAATCAGTGGAAAAATATATTCTCAGTTGAGAATTTAACAAAATAAATACTCTGAATTATTTACTGACTGTGATCTTAGGGAACCTAATAGTCATTCTTGCCTTAGTCTGTTACCTACTTTATAGGGTTTAGGGATTAAATGATTTAGGTATGAGTGTGTGGTGCGTGTGTATTACTTAAGAGTGCCTGGCACATCACTCTGAAAATATTCCTACTTAACCCTGGCCAGTGTGGGTTAGTTGGTTGGGCGTCATCCCATGCACCAAAAGGTCACTGGTTTCATTCCCAGTCAGGGCACATGCCCGGGTTGTGGGCTCCATCCCCAGTAGGAGGCTGCAGGTAGCTGCCAATCGATGTTTCTCTCCCTCTGAATAAAAACACATTTCTTTAAATGTTGATACTTTTTCAGTAATTTTTTATTTATTTTTTATTTTTTTACTATTTCGAAATGGTGGGTTATAGATAATAGAATATTGGAAGTGGGGGGGTGATGACAGCAATTAGAGACCTAAAGAGACATCCTAATAAAAGGAACTTTAAAAATCATGAAGGTTAGCCCTGGCCAGTGTGGCTCAGTTGGTTGGGCGTCAGCTTGTGCATTGAAAGGTTGGTTCAATTCCCAGTCAGGGTCCATGCCTAGGTTGTGGGGCTTGATACCCAGTAAGGAGCAGCAGGAGGCAGCTGATCAGTGTTCCACTCTCACATCGGTATTTCTTCCCTCTCCCTTCCTCTCTCTAAAAATCATTTTAAAATATTCATTTTTTTTTTTAAAAATCACGGAGGTTAGCTTCATTATTTTGTAGTGAGAAAAATGACAACCAAATGTAGTTTAAAAACAATTTTGTCCAAAATGTCTCATGGTAAGTATTAACTGAAATGAAAGGGTGTTTTAGGGCAGTTAAATCTAGTGGTCTTTACAAGTTGGATTAATAAAAAAAGACATCAACTAAGTATTTTTTCTTAAATGTTTTTATTGAGTTTAGAGACAGGAAGGGAAAGGGAGAGACACATTGACTGGCTGCCTCCTGCACTCCCTCTACTAGGGATTGAGTGCCCTGACCCAGGAATTGACCTTTGAGTTGTTCGGCCATTGGTGTTTTTCTGATTTTTGTAAGTCATTTTGCTTTTTTGCAGGGCCCAGTAAATCCTTTAGGGCCACCTGTACCCCATGGGGCCCCATGGTGTCCCAGGGCCCCATGGGCCTCCTGGGCCTCCTGGGCCTGGAGCTCCAATGGGACCATACAACCCTGCACCTTATAATCCAGGACCACCTGGCCCTGCTCCTCAGTAAGTACTGGGTTTTCTTTGTGCTTTTCCCCAAAGATTCTAGCTTTTGGTAAGTCATATTCTTACATTGTTTTATATCTTTTCAGTGGTCCTCCAGCCCCTTATGCTCCCCAGGGGTGGGGAAATGCATATCCACACTGGCAGCAACAGGCCCCTCCTGATCCAGGTAAAAGATGCTTATCATTCTTGTGTAATTTGTATTGTTTTTCACTCCTTATATTTTCTAGTGTTATTTCTACATTGTGTGCCATTTTCTGCACGTATTTCACTCTTTCAACAGGAGTGTTAAGTTCTGGTTCTACCACAGTGTGTAAGATTGGTGTGAATATGGTCTATCATGGAACCTTTTTCGACCTGCATTTGGTTTTCTCTACTTTTGAAATTACACAGCAGAGTGCTAAAAGCCAAAAGCTATAGGAAGAAGTGCAATGTCTTGGGCTTTAGGTACTAGTGCCATTACATGTATATAGTATGTTACGAGTCTAAATGGAGTGTTTAATACTTGGGCATTAAACTCCTCTAAGTTCTCAAATTATGTAAGTTGTCTGTTTTAGTATTCTAGATACGGTAACTTTACCTGTTAGTAAAAATCAGGCCTGTATTTAATATCTACATGTTAAAACTCTAAAGTACACTTTTTTCAAATATTTTCTCTGCTCAGATCTGGATTTTATATATATTACATTCTGTTCAATTCTATGTTATTTTATCCCCACCATGGTCAAAGGGCATTTATCGAAACCAATTAACAATTTTTTATGATTCTTTTTTCTCACCCACTACCTACCTTTAGGCCTCTTTCACTGGAGTAGTTTCAAGGAAGGTACTGAATTAATGGATTCTTTTCCACACTAGTTAATATTTGTATTTTAAAAACCTAAAAAATTAGGTGAAACACTCGTATTTAAATGTGGCCCCCATGTTCTATAACATACTTTAATTTCAAAGGAAGTGTATTCTTTGGAAATGATGACACAGCATGGCAGTCACGCAATAGCCACAACATCCACTAAACAACTTGAGGGTGCTAGAATCTGGGTGTGCAAAGAGTAGTTTATATTCTGTAGCAGAAGAGTGCATTTCAAGAGATAGCAATAATGTGATAGAAGGACTTATAGAAGAGTCAAATGTTATTTACTATATAGTCTAAAGTTAGTCTTTTAAGAATGAAAGGATTTTCTTCCCTCTTGTAAACTAATTGAGATGGTGTGATAAGCAGAGGAATCACCATTTAAGAGATTCAACATGTTGGTTAAGTTAAGGGGCAGATTTATATTGGGTAACTTGGATATGCAGAGTAGCACCTATGAGCCCTGTTTGGGTAGGTAGCATGATTGAGAAAATGATGGGAATAGAGAAGTGGTCTCTATCACAATCTCATTTTCCCACTTGGAGTAGTAGTGAAGTAACAGTTGGTTAATGAATGTGGTTTCTAGCATTGCTTTGGGGAAAGCAAGAATCCAGTTAGCCAGAAGAGATGAGCTAAAGTTAGATGTTGCTTAAATTAGACTTAACATATAAAAACCAAATAAATGATTTAAATGAAATTGTATTGACAATAAAGACAATATTCTCTGAACTAAAATCTGTTTCGATAAAAATTTAATGGGCTGTTAAGCATTTATATAGAGTCAAAAGATTAGACCTCAAAATGAAACAGGCCCTAGATAAATTCTAATCTTACAACTTAGTAATTGTGGCATAACAAGCACATTTTTTAACCCCTCTAAATCTATATTTATGCATAAAATAGTGGTACATGAATGAATGAATATTATGTTGAATGAATGATAGTAAGTTCTCATGTATGTAAACAGGCTGGTTTTCTATTTTTCACTTGGATGGCATCTTTTTATTTTCTTTACTATTGCTTTAATGCACTTTAAGACTGTTTTTCTTATATGAAGTTCATTCAGGAGTACCAGTATCACTTCCTAAAGTCTTTAATCTCGCTTTCTCTATCCAGACATGGTATGAAGTGAAAATATTTTGTATTTATTAGTATACAGGTTAATGACACTATTGAGACATAAATATCCAATGTAGAAAAGCAAGTTCTTACTTGAGAAGGATTAGGAGGGTGGTGTAATGTCTTGGAATTATATCACCTTAAAATTATATCCCTCTAAAAATTCCTTTTTTTCTCAACCTTCATTCACTTTTATTAAGCAGCTGGAAATTGCTGCCCATTTGGGATGAAGGCTATAAACAGATTACATTATAGATGCTAACTCTAGCTAAGACAATGACATTCTTCTTGAGGCTGTAAACTAATAAAGATATACCTGTAATACCATATGATAGTATAAAGGACAGAATCAATAGAGGATTTCTGTTTCTAAGAAGTCTCAAACTGTTCAAGTATCAGTTGATTTTTATGAAGAATGAGTGAAGGTGAGCCAAGTGCAGAGGAAGTATAATATGCTCAAAGGCCCAGATATAAGATGGTAACTTCTGAAAGTATAAGCCGTTTATTGTAGTCAGAATATGAGTGTTAGAAAAATATTGACATAGGGAAGATGAGGCTGGAATGGAAAGGATAAGTCAGGGGGTCCAGATCATTAAAGATTTTGGATGATAGACTATACCTAAGATCTTAGACCAGTGGTTCTCAACCTTCCTATGCCTCGACCCTTTAATACAGTACCTCATGTTGTGGTGACCCCCAACCATAAAATTATTTTCGTTGCTACTTCATAACTGTATTTTGCTAGTTATGAATCGTAATGTAAATATCTGCTATGCAGGATGTATTTTCATTGTTACAAATTGAACATAATTAAAGCATAGTGATTAATCACAAAAACAATATGTAATTATATATGTGTTTTCTGATGGTCTTAGGCGATCCCTGTGAAAGGGTCGTTCAACCCCCAAAGGGGTCGCGACCCACAGGTTGAGAACTGCTGTCTTAGACAGTCCTGAAGACTCTACGGAATAAATGAAGAATTTCAAGTAGGACTATGACATCAAGTTTATGTTTTAGGATAATCACTGTGAAATATGATGAGATGAAATATGGCTAATCTCTGTTTCCTTTTCTAAGATTAAGTTGTGTTTTTATTGAAAACGAGACAGGAGAAAGTTCATAGTTCTGTAATAATTGTTTCTTTCTTGTACAGCTTAGTCCCTAGAAATCCTTTCGTTTAGTTATCTGCCATATAGAAAGAACTGTTGGGCTTGAGGCAAAACTGATTTAGAAAGAAAACACAGGATGGTTTGAGACAAAACATTGGATTTAGAGAAAAGATCTTTTATTCCTATCCGAATCCTGTCACCAACTCGTTTTCTAAGATCTAGGAATGCCAGTTAATCTCTGAACCTCTTTTTTCTATAAAAGCTAGGGGTAACAGTGAAATTAATAGAAGAATTTGAAAGTTTCTACTTATTTTTAAGTCTAGTTAATTTTGGGGTCTGTGGGGTCTATATATTTGCCAGGGTGTGTGTGTACATATGAGAGAGAGAATAATAAAATTCAGGTGCAAATGTTGAACTTGTGTTTATTCTAGCTAAGGCAGGAACTGATCCAAATTCCCCAGCTTGGGCTGCATATTATGCTCACTATTACCAACAGCAAGCACAGCCACCACCTGCAGCTCCCACTGGTGCACCAACTACAGCCCAAACCAATGGACAAGGTAACTATGGTAATAAAACTTTTTTTTATATATATACGTGTGTGTGTGTGTGTGTGTGTGTGTGTGTGTGTGTGTGTGTGAGAGAGAGAGAGAGAGAGAGAGAGAGAGAGAGAGAGAGAGAGAGATGGGGGGGTGGGGGACACCTGTGTTTGGAATTATATATAAAATGCATGTGATACCCCAAAATTCCTAATTCTTACAGCTTTGGTAAGCAGACTTTTTAAAAATAGGTTACTTTTTTAGTCACAAACTTGTATAAAAGTTGTAAGATATATTAGAGAACAGGAACACCCAATAACCTAGTTATTAGTGTTTCATCCCTTATTAACACTCCCCCCCCCCACCCCTTTTTATTACCTTCTCTACCAGGTGTCCATGTCCATTATCATTAGTCTTTGTCAGAACCATTATGGCCAAGCTGTAGAAATGATGCCTCATTTAAAATACTCATTTCTGTATTAATCCAAAAATCCATGTCCATCATGCAGCCCTCCACATTAGTTGATCAACATTGATACATTATTACTGTCCCAGTACACAGTCCTTAATTCAGATTTCACCATTTGACCCAACAATTGTTTTGTGATCCAGGATCCCATCTGGTAACATGTTTTTATGAGTTGTCAGGTCTATTCTGTCTCATCAATCAGGAAAAAACAGTTTGGTGTGTTTTTTTTTTAATGTTGTAAAGAGTACAGACCTTTTGCTTTGTGGGATGATACTCAGTCTTTTGTTATGAAGATGATGTCATGCTCATGAGGTCCTGTTTGTGGTATGGCAAGAATACCTCAGAAATTATGATGTGCTCTTGTGTGTTACATCAAGAGGTCATATTTTGATCTGTTTCTTCCCTGGAAATGGCAACCTTTGGTTATCTGCCATATAGAACTGTTGTGCTTAAGGCAAAACATGGTGACTTGGTTATATTGGTGTCTGCCAGGTTTCTATACCATAGAATTACAGTTTTTCTCTTTGAAAATTACTATTTTCTGGAGAGTTATAATGAGACTAGACTACTAATCTGTATCTCATTGGCCTTCGCCTTCATTGATTAACACCTGCCTCATTCATTCAGCTACAATTATGATGGTAATTTCTATTCCCATTATTCATTTTACATTAATAGTTGGTAGTTTATTGTCAAAAAGAGTTCCCCCCCCTTCCTGCTTGCTTCTTTATATCAGTATGGGTTCCTGTTTTATTCAATAGGTTGTATTTTAGACTGTCTACTATTTTGATTATGGAATTGTCCTAGGTTTGACTAGTCAGGAGTACTTTCAAGATCGCTCCTATATCCTTTTGACATGCCTGTCATTCTCTAAGCATTTTCTTACTTTCTTGCAGAATAAGATGCTCATTTTGTGCTCTCTGGGCTCCAGCCCTAGAATCAGCCATTTTTCCAAAGAGCCCTGATTCCTTTTAGTAGATGATGGTATTTAGAAACCAAACTCAATGTGTTCATTTCTACTGAGGCGTCATTGCTTCTAGCTCCTTTCAATGTACAGAACTTATGTAATTTAGGTAAATACATACATACCTACATAAGCATGTATATTGCTGGAGTCCAACCCCAGCAGGTCCGGGGTCCCCAAAGATGTGGACGGAGTCGGCGAAGAAGGAATGACACGAAGACAGCCTTCAGTTGATCAGCAGCCTAGTCAGGACCTCTAGCCAGGATCTCCAGCCAAAGTTCTGGTCGGAGTTCTGGTTAGGAACTGATGAGGATCTGATGTTTATTGTCTTGTTACATCCATATTTATACCAGCCGATTTTAATCCTGTCAATTTCTATTACAAAGGTTAGGGCGTTTCTTATCTCCATTCCAGGGAGTAAAGATTATGTAGCTTAACTACCCGCCTGGCACTTAATTAAGGGGTTGTATCCCCTCCCTAACCTCAGGGAAAAATCCCTACCTGGGAAAACAACCTTTCTCGGAGAGGTGACCTTGGTTAAAACACATAGCGCCAAGAAGGTGAGCAAACATATTAAGAACAGTATGCCATATATGCCAGGTCCCTTGAAACAGCAAGGATGGACCGGCTCCCGGCAGTATATGTGTTTAAATGTATGTAAAATATATATATTTTTTAGACTGTGCATTCATATCACCTACAATTAATTACATTCTTGTACTTCAAGGTTCTTTTTAGCCTTTTCATGTTTATAAATGGTGAGGGACCTGGTATCCTCGGTGTGTTTTCTTATGTGACAAGTGAATTTACTTGCATGCTCAGTTTAGCTACTCTTCCTTCCAAATACATAGACTATCTTCTCTGTCCACCAACTTTGTACCTTAGTGTACACCAGAAGGGGTACCACTGTCACACAGCACCCTTCCTTCCCCCAACTCTTCCACTCAAGAAAGTGAAGGAAAAGACCAAATTGTCTCTTGAAAACTTGAATCTTTTTCTTTTCTTTTCTTTTTCTTGAACAAGGTGATCAACAGAATCCAGCTCCAGCTGGACAGGTTGATTATACCAAGGCTTGGGAAGAATACTACAAGAAAATGGGTATGTTCTACATTTCCTTTTTTATACATTTAATTAAATTGAAACATTTAGTAAATATTACTCTAGAAGGTTGAAGATTTCAATAAAAGCATGTTTGTATCATGTTTTTGTTTCTTTGGGCTTTCACTGATTAACTTTTAAAATCTTAAAAGAATAATTGAGCAAGAATGCATTCCAAAATCACTAAACGTTCAGATGTTTCGAGGTCATTACAAATAGTAATTCTTAAATTTGTGATTACATAATAAGGAAACATTTTTATTTGTAAACCCATTTGTCAATCATTTACCAATTGAAACTAAAAATTTTTCTCCTGGCACATATGACATTGTATATTACCTACATTTTTGTTATATATGTTAGTAGCCAAAATGGCATAGGTTAAATTCTAGAGTGCCAAAGAAAAATATGTATGTGTGGTATTATAATAGTGTCCCCCCTTTTCTTCAGGGGATACGATAAACTCCAAGACCCCCCATGGATGCCTGAAACCAGAGATAGTAAATGTATAAATTAGGCACAGTAAGAGATTAACAATCATTATGAAATAAGCAATTATGATAATACTAGAGGCCCAATGCATGAAATTCGTGCAAGGAGCTCAGCCCTCACAGCCTGGTGGCCTTGTGGCCCCGTGGCCCCGCCCACTGGTCTTTCTGGAAGATTGTTCTGCCATCTGGTCTAATTAGCATATTAGCTCTTTATTATATAGGATAAGTAAGGGTTTCTTGAACACAAGCCTTAAATACTGGAACAGTTGATCTCATAACAGCTACCAGGAGACTAACGTATGAGTAGCATATACAGTGTGGATATGTTGGACATAGGGAGATGATTCACCTCTTGAGAGGGAGGGAGTACGATGGATCCAGATTTCATCACACTTCTCAGAACTGTGCAATTTAAAATGTGAGTTGCTTATTTCTGGGATTTTCTATACAATATTTCTGACCACAGTTGACTAGAAAAGGGGAGACCATTGTATTTTTGGTGCAAAATAATCAGATAAGTAACCTACGGTGACAGAGAAAGTTACTTAAATGGCATTTTCATGTATGAAAAAGAAAAAAACAATCACCTAAAAAGGCCATTTTCATTCAATAACTGTAGAGGACTGTGTGCCAAGTATAGTGATAGATGCCTACAGTGTGATTGTGGGAATAACAGCTAGGAACCCTGCCCTTCTGGTTATCATACTCTAATGGAGGTACAGTTGTTAATCAAGTATTCAGCAAATACATTCATACATACTGTTGTGAATGAAAAGAACTATCTTCACTAACACTTTACATGTGCAGATTGAGAAACAGAGGTCACAACTACAACTAAGTGATGGAACCTGAATTTGATCTCTAAGAGGTCCTAAGTAAAAAATTTGCCTTTTTCAGGGACCGTTTGTACAAGTTTTTTGTTTGTTTGTTTGTTTGTTTTTCCAGGTGCTTATGCTCTTGGTCATTTATAAACAATACAGCTTACAACATAGCCAGTTGTCATAAATGAAAGTTAAACTTGCCCATCTTTCACTAGTATAGAAAGACATAGGTGATAGAATTTTTTCATAAGATATAGTCTACTTGTGATTCTCAGTGTAAATTTTGATGTTTTCTTCGTCATTTTCACAGGAAAAAATTATAGTAATCTTTTCTTGTATAAAAGTACATATACCTGGTGATAAGGATTTTTTTTACACAACTGATTTGTTTAAGGAAGGAGAATTCATTTTCCTGCCCAGCCAGTGTGGCTCAGTGGTTGGGCATCGAACTAAGAACCAGGAGTTCATGGTTCGACTCCCAGTCAGGGCATTTACCCTGGTTGCAGGCTCAATCCCAGTGTGGGGTGTGCAGGAGGCAGCCGATCAATGATTCTCTCTCATTGATGTTTCTCTCTCTCTCTCTTCCTTTCCCTTCCTCTCTGAAATAATTTTAAAAAATATTTTTTTAAAGGCAGTTTTATAAAGAAAAATTCAGAGCTCACTTTAAAAAAATGTGCTCTGGCCAGGCAGTCATAATAAAGATATATTTTTTTAAAAAAGAAAAGACAAATAATTTTCCCTGTTAGAATGACTTTCAAAGAAAGTCATGCAGCATGTTATTCTTGAGGCTATAAAAGATTCATTAATTTACTTTTTTTTTTGACCCAGTTTATTTCAAGTAGTTCTGTAACAGCTAAAACTCTGTAAAAAGATAGTTTTAAAAAAACCTTTTAACCTCAAAACAGTATACTGTAGTTACAGTGATTGCATAGTTTATTGTCCAAACTGGGATGCTATTTAGAATAACTGGAAATCATTTTGTGACAACATAGTGGTCAGGACCTCTGGTCACCTTAATTTTTATGAAAAAGCTTCACCATTTTAAAGATTTAAGCATGTAAAGGTTAAAAATCATTAGGTCCAATTTGTGTTTTCACAATGGGTAATATGCCAGAGATGTTTCATATATATATATAATTTTTTTTTTGTAATCTTCACCAGAGGATATGTTTTATTGGTTTTTAGAGAGGGAGGAAGGGAGAGAGAAAGAGAAAAATCAATGTGGGAGAAACATTGATCAGTTGCTTCCTATACATGGCCTGTCTGGGGATTGAACAGCAACCTAGGTATGTACCCTGACTGGGAATCGAACCCACAACCTTTTGGTGTATGGGATGATGCTCCAACCAACTGAGCTATCCAGCCAGGGCTGTTCCCTGTATTATTAAAAGTGGGTAAAAACAAAGGCCTATTAGTAGACTTAAGTAATTACTGGGGAATGAGTATGATTTCTGCTTTATTATATTTTATTCTTTCTTTGCAACATGATCATTAGTAAATTTGCTATTTAACCATTTTACATTTTGCTTGCCCAAAATGAATGGGTATGTTGAATATAATCTGCGAGGTCTTAATACCATTCAAATTTTTATGAAGGGTAGATACTTCACTTTGCCTTTCTTTTAATTTTTCATTTTCTACCTTTTCCCTACTTACTACTCTATTAAATTCTAATTTTAGAAAAAGTATGTTGAACTGTCTTGAATCCTTTGTGGAGAAAGATGATAAATAAAAATAATTAAATAACACCACATTTGACTGAAGATTTTCCTTAACCCCTTCCTTCACCTTCTTTTCAGTTGTGTGTTTTTCTGTAGTATAATGGTCAGCTGTTAATTTTATGACCAAGGTGGGCTGGTGGTTGAGTGATTTCATGTTATCTTAAAGGAAATAATGTTAAGGGGGTTTTTTAATGATACAAGGTCAATTTTTTTTTCCTATCATAGTTCTTTTTGTAAATGATTGGTTGCTTAACTGATCTAATTACAAGGTACATTACTTGTCCTTAAGATCTATTTAGAATAAGCACAAATAAGAGACCTTAAAGCATTAGAATAATACAGTTCAATCTTTGAGATTTTTAAATGGAAGGAAAGAAAGGTGTAATAAAGTATCAAAGATCTTTACCTCCAAATCTAACTCCCTTATTTGGAGAGGCTAAGTTTTACTCTTCCAGTGGCAGAACAAGGGTTTCCTGGGAACTTGGTTGTTCTGATTCCCAATCAGTGCCCTCTTCACCAAATGAAGCAGGCTATTGTAGCTTTTAAAGCCTAATTTCAGCTTTTCCTGTCAAGAACAGGAAATCTCCACTAACACTATAAATTTGTCATTATTTGCTTCTTGGTAAATAAACCTCTTTTCAAACATGCAGGTTAAGTTTTTAAATTTGTTTTGTGAAAACATTCTGTTTTCTGGGATTAACAGAATTTAGGAGAGGAATTCTTTTTAAAGACAAGATTCTAGAGGGTTATAGAAGGCAATTTTAAGTCATACAAGCAAAGACGGCAATCTGGGGGGTTGGATATTTTTGAAGCTCGAATGAAGGAAACTTCAAGTAAATACCCTGTGAACAAACAGGTTTTCAAAGTAGAGACAAGCAATTCCTATTTTGAAGATGGTAAGTGAAGGCATTTTGGAAGAAAAGTTTGACTTGAAGGCTCTTATAATGTTAAGCACTGATATGGTGGACTTGTAAGCGTTAGCCTAAAATGGGGAGAGAGTGGTTGTTTGAAGGATGCTAATATATAGAGATAACCAAGTATGAAAAAAATCTATTCAAGCGAGGCTGGCTCTTGGGCTATAATAAAATGTTACATGTGAACTGTAGAGCAAGTCTTACTTCTTGAATGAGATGAAATTAAAGTCAAACTCTATACATTGTGAAGCTGTATGTGAATATTAAGTGGTGGTCTGTTAAAGTATAAACTAAACTATCTGGCATCAACACTGTTTTTGAACTGAGGGAAAGAATAAAGGGGAGCAAGTTAAGGACATGTCCTAAAAAGGGCAGAGAAGCACAAGAGGCTAGTGGACAGCCAAATCATAAGTAGATCAGATAGGAAGAGTCTTTCCCTATTTTCAGCTGGGCAAAATGAATCACATCTAGCAAACATAAAAACAGCTTTCTGTATGTATGTGCTCCAGTATTTTTTGTTTAGCTGTAATTTTATAAAGCCAATTGAATTACATATTAAATAAATGCTGTTCCAATAAAGGAACTAAATAGGTAAACACATGCTTTCTTTCTCCCTGACCTTTTATTTTTAAAAAATGTTTATACCGTTAGAAAAATTGGAAAAATAGTAAAGCAAATACCCATATTTATATTTTTCTACCCAGAATCACCTTTTTTTTTTTTTAAGTTTGACATATGTACTTTGTGTATATACATGTTTTATGTGCCTGGCACATTTTCAGAGTAAGTTGCAGGCTGGTAGCTCTAAATAAATTATTTCAATAGCAGCAGCCCTGCGGGAGTTTCTCAATGGTTAAGCGTTGACCCAGGAACCAGGTATCACTGGTTCGATTCCCTGAAATTGATATTTTTTTTTCAGTAGTAGCAATACAAAGACCATATTTAAGTGTGGGGGGTTTTTGTCTTAATCCAGAGCCTGTTTAAGGTTCGTGCATTATATTTGATTGTTGTGTCTCTTTAATCTCTTAAATTCAGAAAAGTTGCCTTGCCTAGTAAAATAACTGCTCATGAAGGCTCTTGAGTTTTGTGTTTCATTGATCTTGTTGCTTAGAACCTCGTTGGTAATTGTTCTTTATGTCCATCAGGTTATTTATAATAAAATTGTGTTGTAATTTGAACACATGTATTAAAACTTTAAACATGTCATTAAAAAGGTATAGATTAGTCTTTATACATGTACACATATATATTTATACATATATGTAGTTTATGGGTTACTAATCAGGAAACAAATCTTTGGGCAGGTCTTAAAATAATAGTCTTTGCATTTTATTTAAAATATGTACTGTAACAGATACACATGAATGAGAGATCAAAAAATAGTGGCCCCGCCCACCAGTCACTGCCAGGGAACCATAGACTATTTACATGAAGCATTTAAAAAAAAAATTATAGTTGGCCATGAGGCACTTTTTAAAACAAAATTTGGAAAATTAATAGTTTATAAATTCTTTAATTGAATCAACATCATGCTTATATCTTTACCTTAATTAAATTATATGGATGGGTTTGTTTTTATTTTTTATTAATAGTGATGACATAATGCAAAAAGAAAATAAAGAGCATTCTAATTTTTTTATTACAGAGTAGTTTTCTGACACTGGTGAAAACTTAAACGAGCAATTCAGATCCTCTGCTTTTGTCTTTATAAGCTATACTTACAGTGGATATAGTTTTGTATTTAAAAAGGGGATTAGATCAACAAGGGCAGACACAGGTTTATTCGAAGGCTTGGGAGGAATATTATAAGAAGCATGGTATTGTCTTCATTAGAAATGGGATTCTTTTGGACTTTCAATTGTGGTTACAATAACAAAGTTCTGTTTTCTCAAAGGTCAAGCTGTTCCTGCTCCAACTGGTGCTCCACCAGGTGGTCAGCCAGATTACAGTGCAGCCTGGGCTGAATACTATAGACAACAAGCAGCCTACTATGCCCAGACAAGTCCCCAGGGAATGCCACAGCATCCTCCAGCACCTCAGGTATAATAAATTTGTTGATGTGTTAAAAACTCCAGTCATGTTTTCTGCATGTTTACTATTTTGTTTGTTTGGGATTGATTATGTTTGCCTTTTTAATTTTTATATGGCAAAATATAACTAAATGAAGGACTATGATGTACTGTTGGGTTGCTTTTGGCTTTGTTTTTTTTATAATGCTTTATGGCATCTGAGTGCTGAACATTTCTATAATGCCTTTAATTTTAAAAATAAATTTTTTTCCCCCAGGGATTTGCAAATCATGCAAGAAGCCACCACCATTTATATTAACCAGTTTTTCTTTCTTAAAGGATTCACTCCTGAGTTAGCTCCATTTAAAGGATTTTCTTTAACTTTTTGTGTATTTCTTATGTATCTCTTCTGCACAGGGCCAATAATAAGAAGTGGACAATACAGTATTTGCTTCATTGTGTGGGGGAAAAATACCTTTGTTAAATATATGGATGCAGACGACTTGATGAAGATCTTAATTTTGTTTTTGGTTTAAAATAGTAGTTTTTTTTTCTTTTGAAAATGTACAAAATATCTATCACTACTGATAGGAGGTTAATATTTCTGTGTAGAAATGAAAATTGGTTTGTTTTTAGTATTTAGTGTAGATGTACACATTCCAGCAAATGTATTTGCAACTATTATGTGGTCAATGCTTTGTGATATAAATGTACTTTTTCAATGTATACTTTCACTTTTAAAATGCCTGTTTTGTGCTTTACAATAAATGATATGAAACCTCCTGTGTCGGTAAGTTGGATATGTGGGTAAAGAATTCATAATTTCTTAGCAATGATAAATTAAGATACATATACACAAATATATAAGCTTTCCCCATGAAATATTAATTGAATTTTTAAACACTGGCATGTTTTTTTTCCCCTTGCAGTATAGTAATAGATTGGAGGATCTTTTCCATTTATTGTATTTGGCTGTTTCAGCACAAGTAATCCTGATATCTTCTTTTTTTTTTTTTTTCCTTCTGTTTGATTAAAAACTGCATGTGTATACAATGATCTTTTGGCATACTTCCATTGAATTAACAGTGAAATTTCCTTTTATACATGACCACTGTTTCAGACCTGTACTGCTGCTATAACAGTTAACCTTTCTGTTCTTAATTTGATAATTACTTGATTTCCAAGACTGTTTCAGCATAACTAACTTTAAACAGTTTTCAGATAGTGAATATGAGTAGTCTGATAAGAACAGTTTTTTATGTGAAGCAACTCTTTCAATGTATACGATATTAGTGTGTTTCTTTTTAAATTAAGGGTAGAAAAGTGAATAGTTTGCAAAAAAGTATAATAGTTACAGTGCATCTGCCATTGAAACATTATTGAGATATGGAAATGTTCAAGCTCTTTTCCTTTTTTTTCTTTTTGCAGTATAGATAAGCTTTGTTTTGTAAATGCACAAGTCCAGTCATTGAATCAACTTAATTTTTTTATGTACTTGAAATCATTTTATTACTCTATGACACTCATGCTGAAGTTTTGATATTTTGTTGAAATCCATTGTTTTACTCTGCATATTTGTTGGCTCTTTGCATATTAATATATTAGACTACATGCAAATACAGTCTGTCTTGCCATTGTCTGTTGAAGTGCAGGTTTGATCCAGCCAGTATAGAACTAGCTCTGTAGGGGTGAGGAGGACTGTGCTGTGTATCATCCTTGATTGTGTTCCTTCAAGGAGCATTGCACTGTAAGTACATCAGAATGACAAATTGATGAACTGCAACAGTATCTTTTTGTCAATGTTCCACATAATGTAAATGCCATACTTTGTGTGAATATTATGTTGGAATACAGTGCTGATATCTTGGAAAACCATAAATGCTTCTTAATTTAACATAGAATAATACATAGGTCTTTTTTTTTAAGTGAGCTCAATGGGTAAGTATTTTTTATATGCTTTAGCTATAGCTAAAGAAAACTGATCATTAACAAAATTGAATAGTATTACTCATTGGTGCTCCTAAAATATATTGTTTTTCAGTATAATATATGCATATTTTGTATATTAATAATGAAAGACTTGAAATGTATCAGACAGAAGTGGTTTTCAGTTTGCAAATATATTAAGCAATGTAGCAGTTTTAACACCATTTCATAAATATGTTCTTTCATTGGTAGGGAGCACCATTTGTTGTTTTGAATATACTGTAAAGGAAGATGTACAAGAACATAAATGTTGAGATTACCTAGGGTAGAAAATTAGCAGTACAGTTCATTGTGGATATTTTGAAATGTTTTTGATTGTTTTATAGAAGTTAGAGTGACTTCCATTACCCTTATGTAGATATGGATATGTAGCTCTAGTTTGAAGTTTAATCCTTAGGGAGTTAGTTATCTGTTATTTTTAAGAGTAGGGTATTGACATGAACAATTTCAGTATTTTGCATGATACTGTTTTATAGATGACCTTTAGGAAAGTGGTACATTTATTAATTAAACTGAAGAGATAGTTCAGTTAGATTCAATATCATAACTCACAAATTGGAGGCTGTTGATTTTGATTCATTTAAACTTTAAAATCTTTATTAATTGCAAACAGTGCAATTATTTATGCTTCACAGTGCCTTCCCAGACCTTCCACCTTAGGTTCTGCTGCAAAAAGCAACAGGTAAGCACAACCTAAGGACATATATAAATAAATATTTCAATACATTAATGTTGTCCCTGTGAGGTTTTTGTGGTTGTGTATTCAAAAGCAATCTGCTACTGCTTCCCCCAAATGTATCTTGTTATTTATGCTACTATTTCAGTGGAAAGTCTGTAAGTTGTTCAAACAGCTGTTTACATTTCTAGGTAATGTTTTTATTTTAATTAAACAAGAAAGAATGATGAGTAGATTGCTGCTGTAATTGAACTACATCACCCTTTGTAATCTTTTCCCATAGAAAAATTGTTACATTTAAGAAAAGGCAATTACATAGATTTTAAGATTTAGGAAGTCACTTGGTCAGAAAGTTCAACAGCCTTCACAATCTTTTTAAGATTTATAGGACATTTTCTTTGCCCTCCAAAGCTATTGAGTCTTTGTTTTTTTCTTATTCTTGAACTAGAGCAATTCAGTAAGGCCATTATGGGTGAGAGTTTTATTATGTCTCCTTTTTAGACAGTTTGGGTTTTATAACTTTTATATACACTGAAAAAGGAAAAAAATTATAAAGAAAACTGGCAGTATGTTTTGATAAAAGGCATGTGCATCAGTGAAATGGTAACTGTTTAGCAAATAACCTTGCATAATCTGTATAGCAACCAGTATTTTTCTGATTTATAATATT